AATAGGCGATGGGCTCTGATTGGTGAGCTGGCCCAGTGTTTTGTGATTGGCTAAACCGCCTCTAGTGCGCGTCTAAACGTCCCGCCCCTCAACATAGCGGCATGTGCTCCGGTTGTATTGTAAACAATGACGTCGTCTATATTGCTTATCAATTTGAGCTTGATTGAGACGCAGAGGATATTATTGAAGAGGATCAGGCAGAACCTGTGCACGTCTTTTTTTGAATGGTATGCCTATGTTTTTTGTTGTTGTCTCATACTTTTAGATACGCTGTTGTAAATGCTACTGCTTCTGTTAGCTTTTAATATACAGTTTTATTCTGATTAAAGCTTTAATACAGTTCGGCAACCACACGCGCGTCCATGTAGTTGGTTGTAGTCCCTTACCAGTCGTTTTTGTAGGCATTAAACTGCCAGAATTTTAAAAGTCGATATCTCCGTTTGCCTTGAACTTTCAGCTTCATAACTTTGCAGATATTGTTTATGATCAAACAGCAACATTACACACTAACTAACGTTAAAAAAGTGAAATCGCAATCAACCACCCCTTTAAGATGAACCACAAGATTATACACAGTACTGTACAAAATGTCTAAGGCACATTATATGCTTCAAACATAAAAAAAAATGCTTATAAGATGATTATATATTTTGAAGTGTGTCAGTTTAGAAAATATGATTTATTTCCAAACATTAATTTTGCCATTAATTGTAATAATAGTGAGATGTTTGTCTGACAACAGCATGATGCAATCCATAAAGCAATTTTATCCAGTTAATAAAAGTTATTTGACAAATAAATGTATATTTATGACATTAATTTCTCACTTTACAGCATTATTTCAGAAGTGCCTAAAACTTTTCACAGTACTGTAGTTTCTGGTAGGTTAATTTAACACTGATGATTTTGTTATATGTGCTGTTGGCTGTCTTTTATGAATCAGCAATTAACTCCAAAAACAGTCAATGCAAAATTAATATTTAAAAACAAACATGTTAAAGATTAGCTGACAAGCTGTCAATTCATTAAATTAATTTATTTGTCAAGCTGTTGCCTCACAAAAGCAGTTTCTTCAGTGTAGTAAAGCCTCTCCCCTAGAGTCTGTTAAATTCTATTTATCTATTAATTCTAAATAGCTATTTCAAATAAAATGTCAAACAATTTGCATGACAAAAATATCACATTTAGGAATCTTGAATTTGTGCTAAAATAAACCTTCACAAATGATGTAGTCGCTTCAATACATAACACATACTGTAATCCTTAATGTTCCCATATTCAGTGGACTGTGCAGTTTGAAGCTGAAAATATCAATCACTTAATCCAGCTGTGCTTTGAGTTGTTGCATAAGTGTAATTGTTTGCTACTTATGCAGACTTGAGTTTTCTTGTTGTTAAGTTGAAGTAAAATATTTATTTGATTGAATATCTAAAATGCTATTTCAATACCACAGACCATACCACAGAGAAAAAACGGAAGATCATTGGGGAGTTGCTAAACATCAAAGGGAAATACTCATTTGAGCTTTCAACTGAAGTGAAGGTAAGCTCAATATAAAAGCAAGAAATAGAACAAGTGAAAAATTAGCTAGTGGTTAGGTTGAGTCATCCTCTTTAATTATAAAGAAACCCATAAGATTCCCATATATTCACTTGTTTTCATGTCACAGTACATATTCTATGGGTAAACTCGTTTCTCAATGCAAATCTACCCAGATTACATGCACAATCAACTAAACGGGTAACACTTTAGTAGGGACCATTTCTCACTATTCATCATCATCAAAACTTTATTAAGGACACACTTGGTCCAAACAAAAACACAACAATAACAACATACAAATACACAAGGACAAAATCCACAAAATCACATATTTACATGTGTATTAAAACGCCAATGATTCCACATATTTGAAAAAAACCTGACTGAACTTAGTGTCAAGTTTGTCAGTGTTAAAATTATACTGTTTACAGATTCTGATAACCTACACATACATCTGTATATGAGATTACGCATCACAGCAGCGCAGGTCGCACACCAGCACTGACAAACATTTGGCTTGCGCTGCTCCATTGTGGCACCTTAAGCAGCAATCGCATACCATCATTATAAGCTACATTAAGTCTCTGCATGCTGCTCTTTCTGTAATGCCGCCACAAATGGGCAGTATACATAGGGGGGTACAGTATGCTTTAAAAAAGTGTAGTCTTCACAGATCCTGAGCACATACCAAATTTGCGAATCAACATATTGGCCTGGGCATACAGCGTACAACACTGTCTGTAAATATCCCTATCATCAGACAGGTCATCAGTTATATAATGCCCTAAGTATTTAGCCTAATTACATACCGTAAGGACACTGCCAGACAGAGAGAAGTCAGGAAATGTCAGTTTCCTGTCCTCCCTACTCCTAACAATCATAACATTACTATTTTTGGTCTCCATTACATACACTGAATGGAGCAGACACACAATTACCCCATTTTACATACATTAATTGATGAGCATACCAAAAAGCCAAAATTATCACAAAAAATTTGGGAACTCCTCTATTGTATAACTTAAAAAAATATTTTTCATCATTAACACGATCAACGGCTTTAGAAGCATCAATAAAACACATAAAAATTGTGGAATTATGCCTGTTATAAAAATCTAAAATCTCTTTTAGAGCAAAAATACACATATCAGTGCCATGTTTCGGTTTAAAACCAAACTGGGTATCAGAAGTCAGGACAAAATGTTCCATCTTATTCAATAAAATCCTTTCAATAACCTTGGATAAAGTACTGGCCAAGGCTATAGGCCAGTAATTATCCATGCTATTTATTTTACCAGCGCTGTCTTTAATAATGCTGCTTATTAGCATGCCTATTGTTAACATACTGGCTGTTTTTTAGTACTTATAAAGCACATATTCTGAATGACCATATTCTACATCCCTAATCCTACCCAATACCTAAACTTAACAACTACCTTACTAACTATTCATAAGCAGCAACTTAGGAGTTTGTTCAAGGAAAATCACATCCCGGACTCGATAGCAGACGTAAGTTTACTATGGGTTACCAAAACCCTCACAATCTAGAACACCGGCTCAGTGCGCTTTAATCTTCATTTTTATTTGTAATAAATTCCTCTCCGAGACCTCACGACACAACCTCTGTTGTTTTCTTTGTTTAATCAGCCACATAATTGTAATTGTAGGTGCACTTTATTTCATTTAAACCTCCTCAGTGCAAATACATGGCTTAAACACATGGTGACAGGAAATGACAAGACAGAAACTGATGTGCCAGGAAGTAACAGTTCAGTATTCAGATGAGGGCTCCCTCTGGAGGACTAAAGCTTGATCAGACATTACACTGCTATGGCAATGAACTCGGTTCAGATTTTCAAAACTCAAAACTACTTCTTTCTCCTAAGGAATTTTAGGAGAAACATCTGAAGTGCTGTTGATACTAAAATGAGAGATATGTGAGAATCTCATCTAAGTCTCCTGAGCTTAGGAAAAGCAACCACTGAGCAATAGATTTTTTCCTATAGGTTATGTTACTTATGTTGTGGCTTCTGCAAATTTGTATTTATGAAGTACATTCTTTATGGCAAAAACAAATCAAGACATGTGATCAGATGATTTTTATTAGCTATTGATGTTGATATAATCATCTGATTCACTGATCTCATCCAGTGTCTAATCTTCCATTTTATGGGTAAGGTGTTTATTAATTTTAGTCCTGTGATTCTACAGTATGAGATCCAGCAATGTTGTGACAAATCCGTTATTATGAAGGATTTTAAAAACATGTTGTGCATAGTATCAATTAACATTGATACTGAGACTTCGAAGCTTGGGTGGAGAACGTCAGATGCTTCCTGTTGGAGCTCTGAACTGAGGCATGTGAGAATCTCATCTAAGTCTCCTGAGCTTAGGAAAAGCAACCACTGAGCAATAGATTTTTTCCTATAGGTTATGTTACTTATGTTGTGGCTTCTGCAAATTTGTATTTATGAAGTACATTCTTTATGGCAAAAACAAATCAAGACATGTGATCAGATGATTTTTATTAGCTATTGATGTTGATATAATCATCTGATTCACTGATCTCATCCAGTGTCTAATCTTCCATTTTATGGGTAAGGTGTTTATTAATTTTAGTCCTGTGATTCTACAGTATGAGATCCAGCAATGTTGTGACAAATCCGTTATTATGAAGGATTTTAAAAACATGTTGTGCATAGTATCAATTAACATTGATACTGAGACTTCGAAGCTTGGGTGGAGAACGTCAGATGCTTCCTGTTGGAGCTCTGAACTGAGGCTTGTATTGTTTTAGTAACGTGACTTCACCGGTGACATTTGAAGCCTCATTTGAGTGCAGTGCATTTAGAAGGGGTTTACTATTAGTGGAATTGACTCAGCCTGAAGATAGTGGAAGAAATATTGTTTTTAAACTTTCACTTTCATTGCCCTCTGTCCAGTCTACTTTAATCACATTTACCCTCTATTATCCAGTCTAAATAACTCCATAATTTCCCTCTGTTCAACATAATCACTGCCCAGTTACAAAATTATGAAACATTATTATGAACACTGAGCATAATATTTCAAATAACTAATTTCACATTATTGAATGTAATACTGAGTCTTCTTTATATTCATTAATATGGGCATTCATATTTATGTTGGTTTAACAAGATTTATAAGACATCTGAAAAGATAAAAGTTACAAAAACTTAATTTAAATAAAATTACTTTAAAAAAGCTCATACCCCTTAATAGTACCTCATGTTGAATTTGCTCAAAACAATGCATGCAGACTGCTGCCTTAATTTTTTTTAAGTAGAGAGGATGACTTGAGTGTATGATCATATATTGTATTTTAAAATCTATGAAAATTAACGAATTAAAAACTGGTACAATTAACATGAACATATACACCACCGTTCAAAAGTTTGGGATCAGAACGATTTTTAATGTTTTTTACAGGAGATTCTTCTGCTCATCAAAGCTGTAATTTATTTGATCAAACATACAGGAAAAAAATTAATATTGTGAAATATTAGTTTATTCATCAAAGAATCCTGAAAAAGTATCGCAGTTTCCAAAAAAAATATTTCTCAGCACAACTGTTGCCAACATTGATAATTCTAATAATAAATAAGCATATTTGAATGATTTCTGAAGATCATGTTACACTTTATACTGGAGTAATGACTGATGGAAATCCAGCTTTGCATCACATAAATAAATTATATTTTAAAGCATATCAAAATAGAAACCATTATTTTATATTGTAATAACATTTTGCAAGATTACTGTTTTTTTCTGTATTTTTGATCAAATAAATGCAGCCTTGATGAGCAGAAGAGACTTCTTTAAAAAACATTACAAGTCTTACTGATCCCAAACTTTTGAACGGCAGTGTATATGTATATAAACATAAGATATTTAGCAGGATGAATAAATAGTGTCAGTGAAGAGTTTGCGATTAATTGTGGAGCCCTGGCACTGTCAAACATACTTCACTGCAAAAGAATTAGGAGAAAGTAAAATGTCATCAGAAAACTCTTATGTAGTATGATCTACATATAAACATGAGAAAAATGTCTGTTATTTCTGTTAAAAATCACAAACAATGTAATTATAATTCATACAAATTGCACTCTCTCTCTCTATATATACATACCTACAATTTGTATATAAAACATATGTATAACAACTATACAAAAACTCTGCTAAGTTCAGACCAAACAATCCACTAAATCGAGATTTATTAACTTATTTTTGTCTTTTCGCATTCTGTAGATCTTCAACGACCCCATTCATGGACACATGGAGCTGCACCCCCTGCTGGTGAAGATCATTGACACTCCTCAGTTTCAGAGACTGAGACACATCAAACAGCTGGGAACTAAATACCTGGTGTATCCTGGAGCCACTCATACTCGCTTCGAACACTCTCTTGGGTAACTTTTTCCTCTTTTTCGAGGCTGGACCTTTGCATAATTTCCCTTGAAATACAGTACATAGATTTTTCTTTGTGTGTTTTTGTATGTAAGTGTGGCACATTTAGCAGGATGTCTGATCAAGAGTCTGCAAGAGAAACAGCCGGAGCTCAACATTACCGAACAAGATTCCCTGTGTGTTCGGATCGCTGCTCTGTGTCATGACATGGGTGAGGAGCACAAACATGCATGTGCATATTTACTCAGAAAATCATTAAATAAATCTTTCATGAAAGCACACAGATGTGTCTTTCATTTCCCTTTCTTTCTTTGTTTTTTTAACATTAAGAATAAGAATTTTGCATATAGATAATGGAGAATATGTGTAGGACCTTTAAAGCTTTCTGCGCAACAGTTAACATGTGTGGTGTTTCTTTTCTTTATGGAAAACTCTGGCTGAATTGTAAAGGACACTATTAAAACTATAAAATAATTGTGTACAGAAAACACTGAAAAAAGAGGAGAAAAAAGTATATGATGAATGATTGTCATTTACACTGACATGGTTTGTGTAATCTCAAAAGACAATCAGAAAATAACTGAACATGTTATGATGCTCTTTCTAGTCAGTATCCAGATTTAAGATCACCTAGGAAACCAACTGCATCTAGAAGAGTGTGATCAATACATGTATGCTTATAAATTAATGACTTTTTTTGTGTAAGTTATGAAAGTTATAATAAATGCATGTTATAATTTTTGTTCATTCAGGTCATGGTCCGTTCTCTCATTTGTTTGATGGCATGTTCATCCCTGAAGTCCAGCCTGGTAAGAGCCTCATTTTTTCACTTTGGTGTTTTCAGTGATTTTATTGTTCGTGCAGAGAGTTCAGGAATGGTCTCCGTGGCCGTGTCAATTCAGATTGAGTATTCAGGGGCGTACCCCCCCCCGACGCCAAACCATTGAAATTTCGAAATGTTTCGAAACAGTTATGACGTAATGAAGCCTTGTTTACTGAAATCACGTGACTTTGGCATTTTGATACATGCTCTGAACCACTGTTTCGAAACAAATGATTCACGAAGCAGTACTTCAAAAGCGCCCATCACTAGCGTTCAGCCATGTCGTAATTACCAACATTTACTGAGCTGTTCCATGTGAACGCTTTGGCATTGATAGTGTTGCCATATAAATGTATAATTCTGAGTCCAAGTAGTAGAGCATTATGTGTTGTCACGGCATGAGTGCAACAGGGGAAACAGGAACTAAAAAGGTTCATAATTGATGAATGCATCAGAACCTAGAAAAGTAACTTATCAACATTTCTGTATAATAAACACGTCACAAAAATAGTCTTTTTTTTTTTCATTTGTTTGATGAAGTTCAGCATGGTAATTGAGTTATATCACTTCAGTCATGTCAGATATGCATATAGACAAGCAATTATTAATACTGCATTTTTAACTGTCAAAGCTGTTGAATCCTTAAATTAATGCCTTTATTGTTTAATCACAAGAAAGGCAAATACAAATTATAATTATTTTATTTGAACTAGCCCACAGAAAGATGATGCTCAAATGACTATTTTCTTGTTGTTACCTATAATACATACAGTAATTGAAAATTGTATAATTACATTTTATATTTTGCAACCTTACTGCCAGTGAAACATATCTACATTCATTATTTACAAATCACACTTATTCAGTCAATAATTAAACAATCCTTTTAATCACTTTTTAATAGAGAACCTGCCAAACAAATGATTTTGCTATTGCTAAATCAATGTAATAGTTGTATAATGTGTGTGTGAACAAAGGATAAACATGCCTTGCATAACCTCTAAAATCTCTTTTCACTTCTCAGATGACATATGGGAGGTAAGCATCATAAGATACAGATACAAATAGATTACTGTCAATTAGTAGAATCTGTTGAAATGTTCTGTTTACTAAACTGTAAATGTTCTACTGGCACATACTGATGTGTCTTTACTTCCAAAATATAATCATGATTTATGATTTAAATGTTCAATGCTCTGACCATCCACACAACCCTGTGTAGTAGTGTGTAGTAACAAACGTAGTTTGTGTGTACAGATTATTATATTGTTGTATATTTATGATCATCTTCTCAAGCATGAGAAGGCATCTGTTGACATGTTTCACTGCATGAGAAAGAAGAATGGACTGGACAAAGAGATGAAGGACTATGGATTGAATCTAGATGAAGACATCACATTTATTGAGGAATTGATTTTGAAAGGACAAAAGGATGAACCGGTAAAAATGTGTTTAAAGTGCTGGTTCAGTCAGTGTTTATCAGGATGCAGTGATTAAGTTGATCAAAGTATTTTCCATCTTGCAGTGGTCAATGAAGGGCAGGACCGAAGACAAATCCTTCCTGTATGAGATTGTGGCAAATAAAGTGAACGGCATTGATGTGGACAAATGGGACTATTTGGCTCGGTAAATACTACTTTAACAGGCTGTTTAAATGGTTATAATAGTATTATTACATAGTGTGGCTTGCAGTCTTTAGTAGGGATGGGCATTTTTGGCAACTTCTCATTTCAATCATAGCCACAGGGATATAGCCAGAACATTTTTTCAGGGGTGGCCAGGTAAGACCCAGCGATTTCTTTGGGTTGGCGCAAAAAAAAAAAAAAGACGAGATTAGTTACAGCAGCCAAGCAAAATCTAATATTAAAAAGGCAAGGGTCAAGAACCCAACTAATGCAAACACGAACCACTATAACGATGACTTAGAAATTGTGATTTTCTCCTTTGGTGATTATCCTTGTAAACATCAGGTGTCTTCAATAATGGTCAATCATCACTCAATTATTCACCTAATAATCTTATGAACTTTAACACTGCTTCAGTGTTAATTTGACACTCTTCAGAGTTACTTTTAACACTCTTGAGTGTGAACTCAAATAAACTCCCTGGAGAGTTAATTTAACACTGGGCTTGTTGCTGTGTTCTCACGTCTATACTTTGGACCGCGTGCTGTGGCAAGCTAAACAATCAGAGCTCAGCCGGGTGCCGCCCAAAGTGCTGCTATAACCAATCAGAAAAAAATATTTATATTTTTTTAAAACCAACATGATCATAGTTTTTATGATCGATCGTCACTGTCACGGCCGAATACTCGATCACTGTTGCACATTCCCAGTCTTTAGGCTTGCAGTTTGACAGTAAACATGATTTTGGCCATACTGTTTTCCTAGAGATTCAATATAATTTAATTGTACGTATAATTTTTGCTATTTTTAATTTTACTAAATCATGAGTCACTGGACTGCTTGGCCTCACTGAGCTCTGTTCTTGTTGTTGTGTAACTATTTTACTCTAGTACTAACACTTGCCATCAGATACACTTTCCAAATGTGGGCCATTGTAAATGTATTATTGCTCTATGAGTTGTTGCGTAGTTTAATTTCTCTATTACTTTACATGCAGAGACTGCCATTATCTTGGCATTCCATGTGGTTTTGACCATCAGCGTCTGCTGAAATCTGCTCGAGTGTGTGAGGTGGATAAAAGAAAACAAATCTGCTTCAGAGACAAGGTACCTGCTAAATCACTTTATTTACACCCAATTTGGGACAGAGACACAGTAAAAGTGAAGGGATTATAGAATATCCAAGTTAAATTGTTTTGAAACAATCCACAATAAATACATGAATGGGTCATAGGTGAGGGTCTCTTGATTGAGTAAAAAACAAGCATGTATGGAAATAAATTAATGACTTAAAGTCTTTGAAAAAATGAGCTGAATTCCAGTAATTGAAAAAAAAACCCGAATTGCATTAACAGTGTTTGCATTTAATGCATTGTATTTTCAGGGCTTGCATTTTTAAGGGCTGAAATCCACAAATATTTAGATTATTACAAATTAAATATTTAATATACATCTTTCAGACTTAATTTCCAAAATATTCAGACTGTTTAAAAACATGACCTATAATATTCAACAGGCATTTTTCAGTCCATTTGATTTCGCTTTACAAATTCAGTGGTTCAAATTCGGCAGAAAATTCCCACATCCCGGAACTGCAGGAATAGCAGTATAGTTCAGTTGCATGATCTCCATCTGCTGTTAGTCGCTCATGACCAATTTGTGAGTTGTGAAATGTTGTGAAATTTGGCACACAGATAGAGGACAGTCTGTGCCACCAACTGTCAAAAGTTGCACTCATATTTATTCTAATCACTTTTGAACCATAAAGGTTAGAAGAAAAAAAAACTTATTTCAAACTTCTTCTTGTCTTTTTTCAAACTTCTGCTAGGCTGTTTTCATGCAAACTGAACCAGCATCTTCAGACCATGCAGACAAAAATATATACATAAATTAATTAAATAATGTTCCCATTAAATGCTACTGTATATTTAATGAATGCATAGGCATATTGTTGCAAAACTTGGTATGTGTCATCAGCACCATGTGCTGAAGGTACTCAAAAAGTTTTGGGTCAGTGACCCCTTGTGATGAATAAGTATAATGAAAAAAAAAATGCTAATATTTTTTTATTAGTTTTGCCTTTTGTCATGATACTTGTCTTGATAGATTTATTGGATCATGTTGAGAACTTCAATATAAATTATGCCATAATCTACCAAACTTCCTGTTCACCATTTTGATTTTCCTTGAAAACCTACTTTTTTTTAACTCCTCCTAAACCGTTGGTCAAAATTTCCCCAAATTTGATTCAAAACATTTTCAGACCTTGCCAGCAAAAAGACAGAAGACAAAACAGTTTTCGTTTACCACATCAACAAATTCAATGGCATGATGTCAAACTGCGTCTGAGGCTGTAGCTATGCAAATCTTTGACATAATGACACCAAACTTTGTGTGTCATCATCACCTCACACAGAAGACACCGCATCGATTTCACAACAGCGCCACCTATTGGTCAAAAGTGATAAACCGTTAAATCGGTTACAAAGTGCAGTAATACCAGTAGTTGTATTTATGATTTTTCAGCCATTTTGACTGAATCATGCTATAATGGCTTTAATTACTCATTGTTAAGTTTGATCTGATCATCCCTGCCATGCTTGCTCCTCATTTTGCCTTGGTTGTGTTTGGCCCCTTAATTGCTGCTTGCAGCTATATGTACACTTTTTCATAGTTTTAATCTGAAGTATGGATACTAATTGGTGCAGGGGAGTTATTACCAAATTCTTGCTTGATTCAAAATTTCACCTGCTCAACAGTCAGTAGTCATCATTGTCTTATTCTCTTATTCATGACACGCCATACATTTTCAATAGGAGACCGATTTGGACTGCAGGTCAGTCAAGTACATGTGTCTATGAAACCATGTGTTACAAATTTAGTAGTTAATGCATTTACAAAATGTCCCAACTTTTCTGGAGATGGGGTTGTAAATTAACTGGCTATTTTTTCACCAGTGAGGACAATATGTTAAAAATACTCATTGTAATTAATAATCTAAACATAGGCACCAACTAACCTTATAACTCTTCTCAGTTTTTAAAGGGGTCATATGATGCTGCTAAAAAGAACATTATTTTGTGTATTTGCTGTAATGAAATGTGTTTATGCGGTTTAAGGTTAAAAAAACACATTATTTCCCACATACTGTACATTATTGTTTCTCCTCTATGCCCCGCCTTTCTGAAACGCGTCGATTTTTACAAAACTCATCGGTCTGAAAAGCGAGGTGTACGCTGATTGGCCAGCTATCCAGTG